TCATGCCTGTAATCCCAGCACTTTGGGAGGCCAAGGTGGGTAGATCACGAAGTCAGGAAATCGAGACCACCCTGGCCAACATGGTGAAACCAGTCTGTACCAAAAAAAAAAAAAAAATAGCTGGGCATGGTGGCGGGTGCCTGTAGTCCCAGCTACTCGGGAGGCTGAGGCAGGAAAATCCTTACAAGGCTGCAGTGAGCCGAGATCACGCCACTGTGCTCCAGCCTGGCCACAGAGTGAGACTCTGTCCCCCCGCCAAAAAAAAAAAAAAAAAAAAGAGAGAGAGACTTACACCTAAGATCTTAAACCATGAAACTGCAAAAAGAAAATTTTGGAAAATGCTCTAGGAAATGGGTCTGGGCAAGGTTTCTTGAGTAAAACCTCAAAAGCAGAGGCAACCAAAGCAAAAATAGACAAATGGGATCACATCAAATTAAAAACCTTCTGCAGAGCAAAGGAAACAATCTACAAAATGAAGACACAACCTACAGAATGAGAGAAAATATTTGGAAGCTATTCATCTGAAGATTAATAATCAAAATATATAAAGAGCCGTAAAAACTGAATAGCAATACAAAATAATCTGTTTTAAAAATGGGCCAAAAATCTGAATAGACATTTTGCAAAAGAAGATATAAAAATAGCCAACAGGTGTATGAAAAAATGCTCATCATCACTAATCATCAGAGAAATGCAAATCAAACCTACAATGATGTAACCTCTCAACCCAGTTAAAATGGCTATTATCAAAGAGATTGGCAATAATGGATGCTGGTGTGGATGTGGAGAATGGGTAACCCCCATAAACTATTATTGGGAATGTAAATTATTATAGACACTGTGGAAAACAGTATGGAAGTTCCTCAAAAAAAGCAAAAATAGAACTACCATATGGTCCAGCTATATCACTGCTGGGTGTATATCCAAAAGAAAGGAAATCAATGTCAAAGATTTATTTGAACTTTTGTGTTTATTGCTGCACTATTCACAATAGCCAAGATATGGAATCAATCTAAGTGTCCATCAACAGATGAATGAATAAATGAAATATAGAACTTATACATAATAGAGTATTATTCAACCATAAAAGCGAATGAAATCGTATCTTTTGCAGCTACATGAATGGAACTGGAGGCCATAATGTTAAATGAAATGAACCAGGCACAGAAAGATAAATATTGCATGTTCTCACTCATGTGAGACATACAAAAAATAATTTGAACTTGTGGAGATAGAGAATAGAATGAAGATTACTAGAGGATGCGAAAGGTAGTAGAGAGAAAGGGATAAATGGGATGGTTAATGGGTACAAAACTACAGTTAGATAGAAGGAATAAGATCGAGTGTTTGGTAGCACAATAGGGTGACTGTAGTTAATACTTGATTGTACATTTCAAAATCATTAAGAGTGGAATTGTAATGATTTTAACACAAAAATTATAAATACTAGATGTGAATGATACCCCAATTATGCTAATATCATTACACATTATTTTCTTGTGCCAAAATATTACTTTTACCACGTATATAGGTACAACCATTGTGTATCCATAATAATTAAGAATAACATGTTTTAAAAATAAAAATGACAAAAAACTTTAAAAGAATAAAATAACAATAAAGGTATAGTATACTAAATACATAACACAGTATTATTGTTTTTATTATCAAATATTGTGTACTGTACATAATTGTATTTGCTATGCTTTTTTTTTTTTTTTTTTTGAGACGGAGTTTCCCCTTGTTGCCCAGGCTGAAGTGTAGTGGCATGATCTCAGCTCACTCGCTGCAACCTCTGCCTCCCAGGTTCAAGTGATTCTCCTGCCTCAGCCTCCCAAGTAGCTGGGACTACAGGCTCCCGCCACCACACCTAGCTAATTTTTGTAGTTTTTAGTAGTTTTAGTAGAGATGGCATTTCACCAGGTTGCCCAGGCTGATCTTGAACCTCAGGTGATCCACCTGCCATGGCCTCCCAAAGTGCTAGGATTACAGGCATGAGTCACTGTGCCGGGCTTGTACTATACTTTTACATGAGTGGCAGCTTAGTAGCTATTTTTATATCAGTATCAACACAAAACATGTGAGGAATGTCTTATGCAAGACATTTTGACAGCTATGATGTTATGACAGCCACGACATTATGACAGCCACAGCATCCCTAGGTGATAGGAAATTTTTGACTTCATTATAATCTTTTGGGACCACCTTTGTTTATGCAGTCCACCATTGATTGAAACATCATTATTCAGTACATGACGATTGTGTATTAACTTTGTATTCTCTTTCATTTCTTATCCTGGTTTTGACTTTTATTTTGGAAATTCTCATAATTACCATCATTTCTTATGTCCTTCTAACTCTTAATGTTTTGCTCTTGCAGGTAAAACTCCCTACTTTCCCTCATCACTTTTCACTTTTAAGCTTTAATTTGTTACTTTTCCCTCCTGAAAATTTTCTATCATCTTCTTTGCTACTCTGTGTCTTTCTTTTCTTTGAGCCTCTTTTATTTACCCTTTCTGATGATGGTAATTTTATTCATTTTCATAAAATTCATTGAAGGCTCAATGTGTGCTAGGAACTGGGCTAGGTGCCATGAACATGATGAATACTTAAAGTGTCTTTGGCATAACAGATTGCAAGGAGAGAAATATACACACACACACACACACACATACACACACACGCACGCGTATAATATATCTCTCACATATATGAAAGATATGTATATATATGTATATATACATATACATGACTATATACATATATATACACATATGAGAGAGAGAAGTACGAGAGAGAGTGACAGGTTCTCAGTCTGTCACTCAGGCTAGAATGCAGTGGTATGATCATAGCTCATTGCAGCCTGAAACTTCTGGACTCCAGCAATCCTTTCACCTCAGTCTCTTGAGTAGCTGTACTACAGGCACAGCTAATTTTTGAGTAGCTGTACATCATGCCCAGCTAATTTTTGTATTGTTTGTTCAGACAGGATTTTGCTATGTTGACCAGGGTGGTCTTGAACTCTTGGGCTTAAGCGTCCACTCACCTCAGCCTCCCAAAGTGCTGGGATTACAGGCGTGAGCTCCTGTGCCCAGTCTGAGAAATAATTAAGAAATACAGTAGTTTTCCCTAATCTATACTTTGGCTTTCCACAATTTGTTCTCAATGATCATCGTGGTCCAAGAATATTGAATGGAAAATTTTAGAAACAATAAATAAGTGTAAAATTGTGCATCATTCTGAGTGGCATGATGAGATCTCATTCTGTCCTGCCCAGGATGTGAATCATCCATCTATCCAGTTTATTCACACTGTAGATGCCTATTAGTCACTTAGGATCCATCTCAGTTAACAGAAGGACTTTCATGGTATTTTGGTGCGTGTTTTCATCTCTAATGTTACTTAATAATGGTCCCAAAATGCAAGAGTCATGATGCCGGCAATTCAGATATGCCAGAGAGAAGCTGTAAAGTGCTTTCTTTAAGTGAAAAGATGAAAGTTTTGAGTTAATAAGGAAAGAAAAGAAAATTATGTTGAGCTTTCCAAGATCTACTGTAAGAACATATCTTCTATTTGTAAAATTGTGAAGAAGGAAAGAGAAATCTGTGCTAGTGTAGCTGTCACACCTCAGACTGCAAAAGTTACAGCCATGGTGTGTGATAATTGCTTAGTTAAGATGTAAAAGGCATTCAATTTGTGGGTGGAAGACATGAACTCAAATGTGTTCTGATTGATATCATTTGGGTTTGGTACTGTATGTGGTTCAAGCATCCACTAAGGATCTTGGAATGTATTCCCCTGAGGTTAAGGGGGCCTACTCTACGTATAGTATAATGTGATAAGAGCCATGGTGAAAGGAAAAGTTTAGAATTGTTAACGGGCATCTGGGAGCACAACGAAAAGACCTCAACTCAGACTGAATTCAAGAAGAATTTCTGCATATGAATTCAGCAAAAGGGAGGTGAAGAAGTTTTCTAGGCATGTACAAAACTCACCAGGTATGTTAAAAAAAAAAAAATGTCCTGGAGTACATTTTCCCGGCATACACAAAGACCTAGAAAGGAGAAAGAAAATATGTGTGTGCATGGCACTTCATTAGTATTGCAACTAGTTCAGTTCTACTGAATCAGTATATATGTTACTTTCTATGAAGTTACAACCTTTTGACCTTTCTGGTGTTCATATTTTTATGGATTTTGTTATTGTTTAAGAATAGGACTTCTCTATTCTACTTTATTGTAATTTACCACATGCTATAATTCAGCTCATAGATAATGGGTGCTTTATAAATGTTATTGACTAATTTCAGTGCCTGGGGCAGGTCTGTAAATATACATTTCCAGGTTTGTCATAATGAGTGAGGATTGATATATATGTTGGTCCTTTTAAGGAGAAGTAAGAATTTGATGATTACAGTGTTTTATTGGCAAATATTGAAGTTACTCTTGGTAAAGTATGTAGCATTTTATCTATCTATCTATCTATCTATCTATCTATCTATCTATCTATGAAAAGGGATATTCTATTCTGGAACAAACCACAACCTGGATTTTAAATCAGAGGCTCCTGACATTATAAAGATAGAATGGGTTTTCAATGGTCCAGTCCCTCATATTACAGATGAAGAAACCAAGACTTAGAGAGGTAATAAATGAAAGAGACAACTCTCAGTTGTGATCAGAACTTTTTAATGTCATGTTTGCCTTTATTTCTAATACTTTTGAGAAAAACTTCTGTTGTTTGCCATTTCTGTTCTTTACACAACTTATATAATCAACTTTTACATTAGTAAATTTTTACATTAGTAAACTAGCATACATAGTATTTATATATAGATTTTTTTCAAATTAAAAAGCAAAGGACTATAAAGAAAGGAGTTTGAGCTTCATATACATATATATATACATATATGTATAACTATAGCCAATATATATATTAGCTGTAGTTAGATTAATAAAAAATATGTTTTGTGTATTATAAATTTGAATATAATATATAATTGTTACTATATATATTAAACATATAATATATAATGTGTAAAGTATTAATATATATGAATATAAATATATATTTATATTTATTCATTTATTTACCAGTCTAACTACAGCCAAAGTTAAGGATTTCTAGAGGGAAGAAAGTGGAGATTGTTTTTTATTCTAGGTGTCTTATGGGGGACAAAGCTTAAATAAATTGCCTTAATTCTGTGATATCTTTCCTTTCTCATGTGCAAATGAATATTTAAAGATACATCTCCAATTTGTTGCTCTTGTTTGCTGGAAATTATTTTTGTTGAGTCACAACAGTTAATCTAAGTTAATATTCACCATGTTTCTATTAAAAAGGCAAAGCAAATAACACTAGTCTCCTTTTACAAATGAGGACCTTGAGGCATTTCAAGATTAGGTTGAACTGTTTCTTTAAGGTCTCTCAGTTAATAAGTAGCATAACTGATGTCAGTACATGGTCTGGGATATCAGTGCTACAGTTCAACATTCATTCCGCTCATCAGAACAATAAGAAAGAGAGAAGGAAGAAGAAGAAGGGAAAGGAAGAGGAAAATTAGAAATTGCTTTTGTTTATTCTCCATTATTCACAGTGTTTAGCACAGCCATACATTATTGTTTTCAATCTTCATACTAATCATACATACTTAATACATACTAGATATTATTCTATTTTACAGTTTAGGAAACTAAGTTTCAAAGATGTTATATTCTTTGCTTACAGTCACATAGCAAGTATTAGAGATACTCCAAAACTTGTCTTTACACTGCTGCACAAAACTGACTCTGAGCTGTTCCTTATTTCCCTATGGTTTAAAAAAATAAATGTTGTATAATATACTTTAAATTTGATTTCTGTAGGAAGAGTAGATTAGAAACATTCAAAAACAAAGAAACCAAAGTCTGACTGTGAAGCGTGGTGTACTGGTAATATCAATGCTCTTTTAGGGGAAAATATAAATATGTTTCTGGACTAAAGTGAAAGTGGAGAATTAAAAGTTGATATCAAAACAGAAACAAAGCAATTTTTTGTGAAGTACACTTTAATAGCCATACAGTGGATCAAAAGATATGATCTCACTTCATAGTAAAACAGGTCCTGCAAGCCCAGGTAACTCAGGAAGCAGAATGGTAATTATTCACAGAAGAAAGCAGGTAGTATACTGTTACAATACTACAGTAGAAAATCAGAAGGTCACAGAGCTTGCAGAGTAGGTGACAGGACTTGAAACTGCTTGGCCCTCTTTAAAAAGAAATAATAAAATGGGAGAGACTGAAGCAACTTTACCTAACATGTCTTTGCAAGGTAAGTACCAACAGCCTATGAAATGTTCACAATCAGAAACTTAAGCTGTGTTGATTACAAAGTCTGTGTGTTTGTGTGTGTGCACACACGCATCCCTGCATGCATGTTCAGGTGCCCTGACCCTGTTTTTAAGGTGTTTTTTGCGAGTGAGAAAAGAGGTGGAGATTGTTGATTCAGAGGAAGCATGTTTTCTTAATTGTTTACAAAGACTCAGGCAACACAGATTCACAAATTTGTTGGAGGGTATGGAATGCTTTAGCCTTAATCCCCAGTATAATGTTGAAGAAATGGTATAACCAACTTTCAGTGCATTTTCATGTTGGACCTTTTCCGACATTAACAGAAACTTGATTTTTGTCTCTACCTGTGGAATGTTTATTGGTAATTAAGTTTTGCCGTCTCTGGGGTTTACCAGCTAAATTTCCTTGTAATTAATATAACCATTTTTTTTAAGGTAGAAAACGGGGTCAGGGGAGAGCCTATCAGTTTGGAGACTGTGATTTATTTCACAGGTGTTACTTAATCAGATACCTTTGTCCTTTGAAAGGATTGGCTTTGTTGACATTGGCTTGACTAGGCATCTCTGGTTAGAGGCTTGTTAACAGAAACAAATTTAAGGTTACTCACATTTCACATTTTTGAGTAAGAAAAGTTATTTCTCAAAGAATAAAAAGAAATTAGATATTGGGCCTAATCCATATTTTTTATAGACTTCTAGAACACCATGAGGTCACATAGATCTGCATGATCCTAAAAATATTCACCTATTTTATAGTTAAATTATTGTATTTTTCTTTCATTTCTTTAATCTTTATGTAGCCTGCTTAAGAATCCCAGAATCTTTTTTTATCTCTGCATATTTCCTAAAAATCTTTCTTGAAATACTGTGTAAAATGCTACTCTGAAGCATTTTTAATTTAAAAAATTAATTTTAAAAGTCATGTAATGAATTCTATTCAAGAAAAACAATAAGGTAAAAGGATCATTTCACATAATGAAAATAATTTATTTCTATGTGTCTTATGGTCAAATGGTATTATGTACAAGATTATAACATATTTCTTATTTATCTCTAATATTTTTCCTTGTATATAGGAAGCATCTAGGTTGTTATAGTTGTTCATATGATAATTATTTTACATAAAATGTGTATTACGGTTTGGCAACCACCTAAATAGCCTATCCTAGGCTGTGTGGGTACATCACCTGTCTATTCAGGGATCAAAATAAACTAAGGAGTAACCAGACCTCTCTCCACTTCCCTCATAATCCCTCTTTGTGTTAGGATCATGAGTAATATTTTTTAATTGAATCCCAGATTGTGTATACATTTTGTTTTTGTTTCTTTTTCTCTGGTGCTTTGTATGTATATTATGTTTCTGGTAATACATATGTTTCACTGTGTAGGGATAGCCTTCCCTTTCCCCATCCATATATATGTATAAAATACAATTATTTTCAGAATTATTAATCAGAAAACCATGCACAAAATTTAACATAAGTGCTATAGTAAATAATTTGAATGGTGTGCTTTAAGTTCAAGAACAACGTGCCTAATCTGTAAACCTTTTGCAGTTGGGGAAAACTTGTGAAATCAGTTGTATACTAGGATGTTTTTGTTTGTATACTCTGAAAACTTTTCAACAAAAATTTATATTATCTTCTGATCTTATTGGTGTTTAAATGTATCCTTGGTAGGTCTGTAAATATTTCAGATCTGTCTTCTTGGAGTGTTGAAATCCTTCCCTACCAGTTATATTTGCATTAAGATTCTTAAGAGCACCTATTAATCAAGTGAGAGTTAAAAAGAACCGAAGGTAGTTCAGTTGTTGGTTTCATTTCTGGATTTCTCTCCATTATAAAGGCAATGGAATGCCTTAACATTTTCCTGTTGTCTGGGTGATACCCTGTCCAAAATCTGAAATTGAGTTTCAAAATGACCAAAGTGAATGAAAAGTTATTTTCTAATGTTCCAATTTCACCTTTGACTTAATGGCATTTATAAAAAGTTCTGAGATTCTTTCAAATAATACTGATTCTCAGCTCCACTTACAAACAGATATTCTTCAGTGGAAATAACTATGTTAAAATAATATGTTTTGTATATTAAACATGTGGATGACTTACGTGTTTTGACTATGAGGATAATATATTATGTAGATTATCACTGGAACTCCATCAGGTGCTTTGAATAATGATTTTCTAAGGCTATGCATCTAGATTTTCTAGATTCACTGAATGATTTCTAATTACAATTTGAAAGGCTAACCACAGATATTGTCAATGATTATTCATTATAGTGCTTTTTCTGTACATCTCTGACCCAATTATACTCCCAGGGAGCTAATTGCATGTGCCCTGGTTAGTGGAGTCCATATGCCATTAACATTTAATGTTTCTGGTAGTATTGAGAACCCATTTTTTTCTTGAATAAAAGTGAAGTTATTCCAAAATTATCTTGAGCTATGTGAACAGATTTTAATTAGCTTTTCAAACATAAAAAAGAATCTCCTCCTTTCAGTCCCAATGACAAGGTAACCCCAGCAGAGAACTGTGTAAAACTGTCATACATGAAGGTTCATAATGTTCTCAGGATTCATAAAATAAATTATCTAGGTTAGGAGAGAATGCTAGAATTTTTTTCTAAACTTTACAAATATGAGTAAAGTACAAATAATATGGCATAAGGAATAGGGGTGAGTGCTTTCTAAGCATTGTTATTTGCAAAGGAAAGGATCATTTTTCTTGCATAATGTCTGGAAACTCACATACACCACTGAGTGGCACTCTATCACTCCATGGGCCTGTAACAGGAGTAGAAGGACATGGCTGAGAGGTGGGAGGGAGACAGCTCCCTTCCTGGAAGGGAACTACCTGGAATATGCCTTAGGCTAAAGTTTCTTCAGAGGCCATCCTTGAACTTATAAGGGCTACTTACCTCTTCTCTGCCTGGAAGGATGTCCATTTCCTACTTCTCCCAGTATTCTTATTAATAGGCAGGGTAAGTCCTAGTCAGAATTGTAAAATGGGGAAAGAATCTATCAGCATGCAGCTCTGTGCTTCACCTGCTGAGCTCCTCCTACCTCAGGAATCCAGTTCCCATGAGCTTTCAACATGTTCTTTCTCTCCTTTTCATATTTAGTTGAAATATATTCAAGGCCACTTTCCTCTTTGGAAAGAATATGATATACTAATTGGCCCTTGAGATTAATTAAAAAAAAAAAAAAAGTATTTCTGAGTTTAATGCTGGGACAATCTTGTGAGAGGAGGCATCTTTGAGTTAGGCCTCCCCTGGGCTGTTGAATACACTTGGCACTTGTGCTGCCTACCAGCTGCTTGGATGTTTTGAGCGTTTCTAATAATACCTCTCCTTCCTACTTCAGTTCTTCTTAGTTCTTTAGCTCTAGGATACCCCTACTCTAAAGGCTACAAAACAGTAGAACTCTGGGGGAAGATGTTCCAAGTACAGAAGAGTTGGCTGGACTCTGAGGAATGCAGAGCTAACTCTAGCTAGCCATCAGCAGGAGGAGAGAAGTCTTCAACCCACTGAAGGAGAATTTAGTCATCAGAGTTAGGAAAAAATAATGTTCAGAAAATTAACATTTTTGAGCTAGAAGATAGAGAGTCTCAAGTCCAGTGTTTTTACATTGTAGAGTAACAGAGATCCTATGAAGCTAGGAAAATTGTTTTTGGTTTCACAGAAGCCATTGCCAGAGGCCACGTCTCTAGCCTGGTGCTCAAAACTGCTTTTGCTGCAGTTTTACAGAAGAATTTGGTGCATTATTTTCTAGAGCAATTTGCTTTCCTATTTCTAATGGAGAAAGCAGTCTTATTAATATTTTCCATACTGATGTCTTTTAGTTTATATATTTATGGTCTTGAAAGCATTGTTGAGTATTCAGTGAGCTTATTATGGAACCTGTCCATCCAGGCTTGGGTTTTCTCTTTACTAAACAAAAGTTACATTAGCTTGTAAGACATTTAGTTAATTTTCATTACACTAGGAGAAGTTGCCCTGCAAGTTCATAGGCACATGTATGGAATGTTTCTTCATAATAGAGTCATTGTTTAGAAATGATACTAATTCTATTTAAAATAAGTAAAAGAAAAAAAAAAATTCTAGGCAGGAGGAGACTTAGTGTCTGTACTTCCAAGTTGGAGCCTGAGGGTAATAGTACTTTGTCCTCCAACCTGTTATACTGGTTTGGTGTTCATGCTTACTTTCTGTGGTGGGAAAAATATCTCTGTATTCATCATTGTAAACCATGACTGTCAGTGCCTTGAAATCTTTCTGATGCCACAAAGAAGACTAACCAGTGTGTGACTCTTCCTTCCAAGCCTACAGAACTTTAATAGCATTATCAATTAACAGAAGTGCAAGGAGCTCTTGTTGGACCTGCGTTCCACGAGGAAGGCTTTCACTAGCCCTTCATGATAGGTTCAAACACTTGAAGACCTGAGGAATTTCAGAGTTGACTCTTAGATATTGAGGTAACAGGGCGTCTTGGAGTTGAAATTTCCAGAATCTTTGCTGGGAAAGTCTCATAGTCTCAAAACAAAATCAAGCGAATTTGGAGCAAAGAAAGTTGCTGAAAATGTCAAGGCATGAAATCCAAGGTGAGTCTGACCCAAAAGAGTGAGTTAGGCAAAGGTGCATGTGAAAAGGGCTGAGTACTTTTTCCAGGTACAAGAGAGTGTCTTTGCAGCAGGCAAAAGAGATTAGGAAAGCAAAATCCGAAGTAAAGCATAAGAAATAGTTAATGAAAGCAACCTAACTGAGCTTAGGAGCTAATATTTTCTTTGTCTTTCTAAGTGGAAGTTGAATCTTTATCTTATTAGAAATAAGATGGCAAGCAGCGTATTTGAATAGAACATGAGATAAAGGTGGTTAATGACATGGTACTTAGTTAAAACCTGCTGTTGGAGGAAAAGCCAATTCTTAAACACTTTGAAATATAGAGCTTGTTCCTGGAGTTTGTTTAATCCCCTTTGATTTAAAT